GAAGTTCTTTCTGCGTATTCCCTCGGTAGTGCAGAACACATCGTAGTCTAAAAAGCTCCTTTTTTGAGTAAATCGGGTGCACAGACCTATAGCAACAAATTGCATGATGAAATGATTTTATGTCACTTTTGTTTAAGAGAAACACCACACTCTGAAGTTGCTTTTTGATTGCCATTTTCAGAATTTTCATTTGTTCAGGCACAATGGCAGCCCTATTTTAGAACCAAACTACTTTATTTTACAACCAAACAGACTCTCCTTTGCTTTTATTCCACGTGAACGGGTCGACTGAGCGCAATGTTATTACTGCAACGAAAGGGGACACAAACTCGCAATTGAGCTATAGAAACTCGGTGGTCCACATTCTAAGGTCAAAGTCCACAAGATATTATCCCAGCCTTGAGATATTTGAGAAATGGTCTTTTGCTTTAAAGTTATCTTTAGCTTTTCATAGTCTGCTTAGTAGCCCTTACGACCCAAATAACGGCTGCAAATTACAGTTTTAGCGCGACTGCGGGGTGTAACTTCCTTGGCAAAACCAGAAAAACCGCCATCGTTGTTGAGAAAATCCGAGACCCAAAGACTAAATTGGAGAAAACCCGCAAACCGCACAAGACACGAAAACCGATAAACCGCAGTTTTTAAATGCGAAAAAAGCGAAAAACGAACCAAAAATTGACCAAATCCGCAAAACCGAGAGTCCCAACCTCCCTCTGGTTGAAATCTTCCATTTTCCGGTCGTGAAGTCTTAGTTTCGTTTTCATAATGTAAAAATCATTGCTGTCCCAGCAACTAGCTCTAAAAATTAATTTGGATAGTTGTGATCGGCCGAGACGGTCCCTGTATGGGAAGAAGGATTTGATGCGCCGGGTCTTTTGAAAAGTAACTTTGACATTAACAAAAGAGTACAAACGATTTACACAAGATTTACGTGTTTAAGGTAAGTTTTATATGGCCTCCTAAAGGTTCAGAAGACCGGATGCCCCTTCCGCCCTATTGTTTCCTCAGTGAACACGTACAATTACAACCTGGCGTCTTACCTTGTTGGAATACTTCAACCGATATTCAGCAGTGAAAAGCTTTTACTTTCTTAGAAAAGCTTTTCCATTGTACGGTCGCTTTACAGACAGTTTCCGTTTGAAGCGTCTTAAATTTCTGCTGCAGATGTTTCCTGCGTAGGTTCCTGATTCCCATTGATACAATATAAATAACTTTTGAAAAACTTTTAACGTTTATGCTTTTGAAAATGTATGTTGACTAGCATACAAAAGGTCAAGTTCATAAAATGCATGTTTTTAAAATGTTTATTACCGCTGTTTGTCATTAGTGTTGTTTCGAGGACGTCGCATAACAAACTACAACAATAATACGGTGGAATCCTCCCCATCTATTAATCCCGCGATCTCTGGAACCAGCGAATAATTCGAAGTAGTAGACGTTTTCCTCGGATTCGCTTTATTCGTGTAATTAATTTTACTCCCGATTCGAACCAATTTTCTTCTATCGTATAAAAGCTTAGTTTCGATAAGGTTAAGATAAACTGTACTAATACGACTTACTTTGCACGTTGTATCGTTTTCACAACCCAGGACTGCCGAAGATCAACAAAGGCTGATTTTGGCCTTGGCAGCGCTGACCACCACTTTTAATTTAAGCTAAGCTGTTCGCTGTTACAATATGAAAGGTAATCTAGCTGAAATATTGATTTATATCATCTCTATCAGGTAATGAAGACAGTTGCAGTAATGTGGATTTTAGTGAATTTCCTATTCATTTCTTTTCTTAAATCTTGACCCTTTTTCAACATGTGCTCTGGGGCAGTGAATCTCAACAATCTCAACTTTTTGTGATTCGATGTAGAACAGGCTACAATTGTTTTAAAACGGGAAGTTTATTTCATCCTTAATTCCATAGGTCATATCATATATGGAAGTTTTTCAGTGAGTTTTAGAAGATAATGCTACCTGTGACCTTAAGCAAAAGTTCCAATATTTTATTCAGATTGTATGAATTCCTTGTGCATAAGAAAAATAGGTAATAAAAGTAAATGTTTACTTTCATCCAGGTTTAAAAATATTGTATGCCACTACACTATTATAATTTAACTACCCCATTTTAGATATCTTTCT